TATATATTAAAAAATTTATTTCTCCCAAAGTCGGACGCTGAGTTAATCATCAATTTGTCATATATTAGTCCAATGTCAGTTTTAGCAACAAAATATTGAACCTTTCATGTTTATCATCGTAAAATCTGTCACATAGAATTTATGATTTATATCCATTTATAATTGACGTGACGTAATTCTACGAGCAAAGTTTATAAATGGATATATAGCGCGAATATATTATTTATAGATGTACGAGTAATGTTTATAAATGAGTTCCATTCTGATTACAGTATCGATCGGAGATGAAGAGGACGACTTGGTTGATCGTCGTAACGATCTTGCTGTCAGTGACGGCACGCAATGCCCTCGCAGAACTTTATACCGCTTTAGCGGATATGGAGGAGCTGCTCGAAACGGAAGCTGTGCTGATTGACACTTTAAACGGATACATCACGGCGCAGGAGCAACGATTGGCGACTCTGAGAAGGTAAGAGCATCGACGTAATTTACTGTCATGACGCAATTAAGTCAATATGCGCACGTTTCGGTTCAATTATCCTTACCCTTGGACGTTGATGAGATTTTTCGCGAGAACGATTCTTATTCTCTCCGCTAATTAAAATATCGCAATAATATATCATATAGCAAAAGTCAAATCCTTCGGCAACAAGACACTTTATCGATTTCAGAATTTATTTAACGTCACTACATACATGCACATAAAATATATATATTTTCAGAGATTTTCTAAGTTTTCAATATATTTCCATGACTTACGTAACTCGCACTAAAAGTCATCCACTTCTCCCGTTTTTACCGCGGGTAGATTGCAGCTCTTTGTAGCGCCTATATTTTGCTACATATATATACTGTTCCTATTGTGTGTACGTTCGCCAATTCTTTCTTTTTTCTCTTTTTTTAATATTTCGTCAAGCGTGTATGCTCGTTCGGTGTACCGATATTTGATCAGCCGCATGTAACGCGAATCATTCTGCAGAAATAATTTTCACTCGTGTTGTCAAATCCTGTTAAACCTCTCTCTCTCTCTCTCTCTCTCTCTCTCTCTTTATTGATGCGTAACTGCGAATAATCGAGTTTGGAGCTTTCATGATTACTCTGAATATCACCATTTGACTTTATTGTATTATGACATATCGTAAAAAAATTGTTATCGATTTACGCGATATCAACGTTAATTAAATGTTGGTCGAGAGAAGAAATTATATAAACGTGATATAAAAATTAAACTAAAATGTGACAACGATATCGAAAGGTGGATTATATCGAGGCACTTATCGACGTAACGATTTCCACGGTCCATTTCCCTCAGAAGCGCCGTTAAAACGAAAGATGATTAAAGAAGTAGATCTTACGGAAAGTCTCGCGAGAATGGCTTCTTTTTTCCTCGGTCCTTTTCTTTATCTTCCCACGAGTATGATTGGACATACCGCTTGATTCGATACTAATGCTTCAAGTGAATCTTTGTGTATAAAAAAAGAAATGGAGCGAAAAAAAAATAAGAAGAGAGAGCGAATACATTAAGATGTCAGATCTCGATCCTACTAAAACCGGTAACATTTGTGTTAAAGAGATAATCGTAATATCGAATCTTATAACGAGTTCATTCACAAAATATAATTCTATGCCTGATTATATGAAATAAAAGAATGAAAGTTTAAAATTATTTTTTTTTTTTTACATATAGTTGCAATCAGGAATACAAGCTTTATAATTTATCGAATAGCAATATAAATTGAATAAATTGATAATTAAAGATTAATAATGAGATAATATTGCTTTAATAAAAGAGAGATTTATAATTTCATATAAAATTTTTTTTAATTAAAGAAACAGCCAAATATATACCAGAGATTTACATTATTTTGTATAAGACTTGAGGTTAATTTGATTGTGAATTTATCCATATTCTCACTTTGTTTTTTCTTTCACAAATATAACTTTTCGAACTTACACATCCTTCTCAGCAACAGAACTCATTTCGCAATGTTGCAGTTAATCCGTAGAAGATAGTTTAAGCATTTCCCTGTCCGGTACAACGGTAGCGGCGGATCAAGTAATACGCGCGGGACAGCGTTGGAAAAGTTTCCAACAACATTTACGTAGGACGATTCTGCACAAAATTTAACACACCGTTGACGACTATGTGCGGATGGTCGCTCTCGAGAAAATCCTGTCACGGACACTCGACAGAGTGAGGAGCATGTCGAGCTTGTCGTGTCGCGCACGAGAATGGGATTTTACTCTCTCTCTCTCTCTCTCTCCATTTCTATGGCCATTCAAAACTCACCGATTGCAATCAGATCACACGTGGCGTTCGTTCCACGCACGCATCAAGATCCTTGCGTAAACGCGGCTGCATAAAATTCGCTTCTTGTCCACATATTTCATTCATTAATTCTGAATTAATGGAAAACTCGCAGCCAAAATTATCTTGATTATAAATTGTTGGAGATAATCGTATCAATCTCTAATCATTCTTCATTATATTTTGTTTCGTTTAAAAAGTGTAAAGTAACACATTTTTAAATATATAAAGTAAAATTGTTAGACACCTTATTCATTCCAATATAATACATGACATAACGATAATAAGTTTCCACGTGTAGTGTTTTATCTCACAAATTGGCTTATTATTTATCGAATTATTATTTATACAAATAGAGTTTGCAACCTACTTGAATTTTCCAGACTGGCCATGAATCAATCACGATGGCCATCTATCATTGGTTGAAGTATCAAATACATAGCAAAAATCATTCGCGAAGAATATACATGTATATCAATCGATTGAACGGTTTTCCTTATACCTGCCGGCACCTGCTCCTTCTCTTTTTCTCTCTCCCTTTCTATCGCATACCGTTTCTCGTTTTACATGGATATTCAAAGTTCGGCAATTGCAATTCAGTCACGTGATGGCCATTTCATACCAGTGAAATTCGCGAAAGCACACACACAAGTATACATATATACATGTATACACAAACGTGCGAAAGTGAACCTATAATGGACATACGTATGCAAACTGATGTAGATAACGCGTATATATGTACGTATCCCGTTTACGTTTTACATATTGTCATGCACGAAGAACGCATGTGTACGTGATATTGCACATATTGTTTGTTTACTTGTGCGAATTCATAAGAAAAATATTCAAATATTTTGCATACAATTCGCGAACAACGAATGCATTCGGTTAAATAAACGTGGGTATAATTTTATCAAACAGACAGAAGTACGCGTACAATTTACATTTAGTAAAGATTTATCATTTTGTTAAGTTAATAAAACGAGAACAAATCGCGGAAAACAATTGTAAATTAATGATCGTGCTTTCGCGCAAAAGTCTATACGCTGTGCATCGTCGTCAAAAGTATGCTTCCCCCTTCTCTCATCTCTTGGAGAAAACTACACGAATTTCCTCATATTCATAGAATCATAAATGACTCTTCTTATTTCATTCACGAAACGGGCATTATGTATCCCGATTAAGAACAGCGTTTTCAAATTATTAAATATCGCTATCACAAATTAGTGGTTTTAAATGCATCGCATTAAAATGTAAAAATTCCCTCTCGATATCGAGGATTCATTTTTGATGAAAAAGAAAGCAAAATTTATTTAACTTTCGATAATAAAAAAATCTTCAATATTAATATGTTTTTCTCTTATTTTATGATTTAAGAAAATGCAAACGTGTATCTGCGCGAATGTACACAATATGGAAATATTTTAACAAAGGAAAGAGAAAAGTTAACGATCATCTAAGTAAATCTGAATTTTAAACTGGGGATTTATAAGGGGGACAAACGAGCCGAGTTGAAACGCGACTATCGGAAGCGCCATTACTGGCATTAATAATCGCGATTACCGTAGTGGTGGTGGGTGTTCAGCACTCCCTCGAGAGGGAGAGTGGCGTCGGTGTAATTGGCTCCGATAAGATAACAAAGTTCTATTACGAGCGTCCGCGACCTGTAACTGTTTGCTTCTAATTAACTGTCTGCGCGACGATCGATTTGTTTTTATTATCGTCAATTCGTGTAGACGAACGTAGGAGCGAGTCCTCCTCGGGTATCCTCATTTAACCGATACTCGTTACCTTTAATTAATTGTCATATCGGCGTTGCAATCGTCGATTTTTATCACCAAAGGCACTGCGATATGCTATAGATATCTATAGATGTGTTTGCGGACGTGAATATAAAATAGAGAGGCATTCGCGCTGTGCTTTTATACGTGGCGGCTATTTTTCGCGATAAAAGAGATGAACGTTTTTACGTTAACGAATTTTGCAAACGACGAGAATTTAAAAATTGGACACATTCGCTATATAGATTTTCCATATTTTTTTGAAGCTTTGAATTACAAGTGGGTATTTTTGTCACGAAATGTAGTCAAAAACGTTACAATAGTTTTCGAAAAAAATGATTGATATCGATCGCATCGAAATTATTTTCTTTTGACATATTCGCTTTGACCGAGATCAAAAAATAAAAAGATAGCGTGTATACTCACGCGTGTACGCTGTGTCCATCTATATTTAATTTTCCGGTAATTAGAGGAAACACGATTGGAATTATCGATGGAATTCCAATAATATTTCTCCTTTTCGCAGTATTCGCGAAATCGATCGTGCGGTATGCGCCGTGCGAAATTCGATCTCCGAACAGCTGCGATATTTTCCACGATAATATGAATATTTAGCATGCTCAAGATTTTTTCAATAAAACTTGTTTTATTTCGGGTAAACCCCGATAATGAATTATATATTCAACAATCAAACGCGAAATTTATTTTATCGAACAAACATTTCACATGCGTGTGTATTATAAAACTGTCAGTTGCGTGATTATATTGTGTGTATACAATATATAGCATCGAAACATTTTCTTTACAATTTTTGTTATGCACAAAATTTTAAAATATATCTACTTGAATAACTAAAAGAAGTATGTTGTTAAACTTTTTCTATTAAAAATGAGATGGTGTTCTTTCAGAAAACTGTTCAATTATTATCGATATACGGATATTCTGTGAGATAATATCGCTAACAGCAGCAGAGATTCGATCGGGAGAGACAAGTCGCTTGCATCGAATTACGTATGGAGTGCTCGTGGATGTAATGGCATCCACAAAGATGCACAGTATATGTACTTGCATGTACACGCGATCTACGTGCTTTGCCTTTAGGTACCAGACAATACCTAGGGCGCGTATCTCAATGACCTGTACCTGTCGCCGTTGCATATACTATCTCTGTGCATATAATGTCGGCATTAGTAATACGAAAATTATAATACGTGGGATATTTTAGATATTATCATTAACATAATAATAGTTGAACATGTATCTTCGCGTAGCTTGTATAAATCGGAAACATTGAATCGTGAAAGATCGAAAGGGAAAAATAATTTGAGTTTTTCTTTTATGAAATTATACTTTTATTCCTCTTTTCCTAAATAAAAA